TGTTGTCTCCCTGGTGTGAGAAACTGAAAGAATCAATAAAATCTAAAATGTACAAAGATATTGTGAAATGGTAAGAAATTGTTCAAAAGGAAAAAGGAACTGGGATGGGGAAAGGGAAAGGACAGGTGGGAAAAGGGAAAAAGTGCAAGTCAGTTATACTATTACTGTCTCTTAGTTCATTAAAAAGCAAAGTTTGTGCTAATATTGATTAGAGAAATTTTATGCCCATATCTTGTACCCTTTTAAAGATAACAACATGTGATGTATTAACTATTGTTATTCTTCTATTATTTTGTTATGAAATTTTGTTTTACCTTTTTTCCATAAAATAAAAAAGGAACAGATGCTTTTATAAAATAAAAGCTTTTAATTATTGTGAAATGTATATAATAAACTTTACTATCTTAACCAGTTTTAAGTGTGCATTTCAGCAGTATTAAATAGTCACATTATTCTGCAAATAATACCCAGAACTTTTTTCATCTTGCAGAATTGAGATTTAATATGATTAAGCAAACATTCCCCATTGTGCACTCTCTCCTCACCACTGCAAACACCGTTCTATTGTCTGTCTCCATGAATTTAACTACTGTAGATACCTTATGTAGTGGAATCACATAGTATTTGTCTGTGACTAATTTATTTTCTTTACCATAATGTCTTTAAGGTTTATTCATGTTTCAACCTATGTCAGAATTTCCCTTCTCTTGAGGCTAAATTATATTCCACTTTATGTATATAACACACTTGTATCCATTTGTCTGTTGATGCACACTGGGTTGTTTCTACTCTTTGGCTCTTGTGAATGCTGCTGCTGCATGTAAATATTTCTTTGAGACCCTGCTTTTAATTTTGGGGAGGTATATACTCAGAAGTGGAATTGCTAGATCTGTTTTCAGTTTTTTTGAGGAACCACCATTCTGCTTTCAGTGGAAGCTACACCATTTTACCTTCCCGTCAACACTGCATAGGTGGTCACATCCTCACTCCACTTATGGGGGAGGTACTGTGGTGTCTTTCCTAATGGGTGTTATAAGGTGGTAAAAAGACTTTTTTTCTCAATTGAATGGCCCTTGTCAAAAATCATTTCACCATAAAAATGAAGGTTTATAGAGTCCAGACTCCATCGATCTTTATGTTTATCTTTATGCCTGTGAGATTGTAGCAGTTTTTGAATTGAAAAGTATGGATCCTTGAATTTTGTTCACTCTTTGCTTCCACTTTGAGATTCATTTGACTATTTGGATCTCATGCATTTCCATATGACTTTTAGGATTGACCTTTCAGTTTCTGCAAAGAATCCAGCTGGGATTTTAATACAAATTACTTAGAATCTATAGATCATCTTGGGTAATATTGCAACTTAGTAATATTAAATCCTCTCACACATGAACAGATATCCTCTCATTTATTTAAGCCTTCTTTAATTTCTTAGAGTGTATAAGTGATACATTTCTTCTGTTAAGTTTATTCCTGTATAATTTGTTTTTTTGATGTTATTATAAATGAAGTTGTTTTCTTAATTTCATTTTTGATTGTTGTTAGTGTGTAGACATGAAATTGAGTTTTGTAGATTTATTTTATGTCTGGCAACCTTGCTGAAAATGTTTACTAGCTCAAAGTATTTTCATGGGTTCATTAGGATTTTCTATATGCGAAATGATATCATCTATAGATGGAAGTTTTACTTTTCTTTCCAATCTAGGTGCTTTTTTTGGTCTCTTTTTCTTGTCCTGGCAAGAGTCTCCAGTATAATGTTGAATAGAAATGGCAATAGTGTAAATATCCTTGAATTAATGTTCACTGATTTGGAAGTAGTTATTACTGATGGTACTTTTTTGAGGACGTGAAAATTTAGCTGCTCCTTCTGCAGTAAGTAAAGCAATAAAATTCTGTTGAAATTTGGCATTTTACTTATTTTTTGAACATCAGAATTCAATAGATATCAGCTTTGCATTTTCTAAAAGTTTGATACCTGTACTGAATTAACTTTATGAATGTTTAAGTAATTGAAGTAAGATAATTAAATGACTTTTAAAAACATGTATCTGAAGAATGACATAGATAAAAATTCAAATGAGTTTTCATAAAGAATGATGCTTGCATAGTATATTTGAATAGAATTAAGAATCAGGATATTCATTTGTCTCTACTAGTGGTTTTTAGCCATTGCTTGGATTAATGCCTTGTAGTTAGCACTTTCGAATTTTATTATTTGTAATAGATATAATTGACAATTTGAGTGTATAAGAAAGGGTAAAAGAAAGGTAGTGATTGTGCTACTTATGATAATTTAACCAATTTCTGTAGGGTACACCTTCTTACTTAAACTTATTCCCTAACAAAACCTCTGGGAATAACTCTTCACATGCTTTATTCATTAGTAAAGATTTTCCCAGAACTTAGATATTCACTTCAAAGAGTAGAATTTCTTGTATGCTTTGAGCACTTCTCAGATATGTTCTTTGTGTCCACTTTCTGTATCAGAGACATGAAATAAGTATTAGAAACATGTTTATTTTCTGGATGCTTACATTTAGGAAGATCAAATATATGTAGTTATCTTGTGTTGCTATTGTAATGGGGGACCTTAACACCCCACTGACACAAAGAAGTAGATCAACTAGACAAAAAAATCAGCAAAGAAATAACAGAACTGAATCAATCGTGTGCACAAATGGACTTTGCAAACCTTTACAGAGTATCCCACCCAACATCAGAATACACATTCTTCTCAGCTGCACATGGGATGGTCTCTAAAATAGACCACATACTAGTGCATAGAACATGCTTAAGTAAAGGTAACGTAAATGAAATTATCCCATGCATATTATCTGACCATAGATATGTACAAATTACCAAAGTTGAATCAAGAAGATATAAAAATTCTGAATAACCTAATATCAATTAATGAGATTAAAAATGTGATTAAAAACTTACCAACAAAGAAAAGCCCAGGTCCTGATGATTCACAGCTGAATTCTACAAGAAACTTAGAGAAGATTTAATGCCTATACTCCTCAAACTCTTCAATGAAATTGAAAGGGAAGCAGTTTTTCCTAACTCATTTCTGGAGGCAAGTATTATATTGATACCAAAACCAGGGAATGACCCAACCAAGAAAGAGAACTACAGGCCAATCTCCCTAATGAACATAAAAGTAAAAACACTCAATAAAATACTAGCAAGCAGAATGCAACAAATTTTCATGAAGATTATACACCATCACCAAATGGGATTCATAACAGGGATGCAAGGATGGTGCAATATACACAAATCAATAAATGTAGTACACCATATCAACAGAGCCAAAGACAGAAAGCATATGATCATCTCAATAGATGCAGGAAAAACTTTTGACAAAATCCAACACACATTCATGATAAAAAGCCTACAGAAAATAGGAATAGATGGTCTATTGGTTTACTGAAAGGAATAGTTAATGTTTAATTGTTTGATCAATCTTACATGCCTCTATCTGGTTGTTTGAGTAACCAATTTGAAGATAAGACTATGTAATACAACAACCATTGTTAATTTCTTACTGCCATGTTTGAAATTCTCTATCATTTTTGAGTTATTTTGTTTATGTCTTTGTATTTATAAATTTGTTTTTGTTCTTTTCTCTTTAGAATAAGCAAACAGAAAAAAAGAACTAAAGTCTAAACGTTTAAATTTGGATACCATGTGGGTATTACTGTTTGAACAGTAAAAATTATTGGACACAAAAAAGCTATATGGTGTGCATATTGCAGAGGTTGTGTGCATGTACACAGATACACTACACCCTTACACACTACAATTCAGTGTGTGTGTTAGATTGTCAATAAACTGAGCTGCTTATACATACTTTCAGACTGATGATAACTAGTTTTTGGGGTGAATATAGCTGAAAAGGAGCTAAAGAGGGACCGAAAACAAATGTAATACTTAAAACACAGATTTGCTCATGAGACTTCAAAATTTGTGTTATGTTTAAGAATACTGCTGTAACTACTAGAAGTAGTATTCCTGTTACATGCTGTTTATTGTATGCCAGGTGCTGTACTAGGCATGTTGTGATGTCAGTACTATTATATCCCCCTTTTCCTGGTGAAGAAATGGCAGTCTAAAGAAGTCAAAACTTGCTCAGTGTCTCTGAGCTAATAAATAATTAGAATACCTTGTGGATATAAATAATTTTTTTTTGACTCCAAGCCACATGTTCTTCCATTATACCAAAGGTATGTATGTTTAACTTTTGCAAGGCAGGGGCTATGTTTATACAGTCTTTAGTAAGGTCTTCTTAATTAACAGGCAGTGTTTGGATGATAATTTTTCCTATAAAAATAATCAGCATGTACTTTGGATGGAGCTGTGTTTTGGTTACTTTTCTTGTTGCTGAGACAAAACACCCAACACCCCTACAAGTTAAAGGAGGAAAGATTTATTTGACTTATAGTAGAGGCTGGCTGCAAAGCATGTTTGCCTGGGGCATTATAGATGAGAAATAGTCCATGGCAAGCAGGCAGGAAACAGCAAAGCAGCAAGCAGCAGCAGCAAGCCTGCCTCTCCCTTTTATCCCTCCCAGGGTACCAGTCTTTTGGGTGTTACTACCCACACCCAGGGTTGGCCTTCCTGTTATCCACACCCAGAACTATGCTAAACAAATCAGTGGACTGATTCAGTAATCGTACCCTTGATGCAAGAACCACACAATTTAATCCCAGCATGCACATCCTAAATCCAGGCACCTCCCCAAACTCCCAGCTATGAGTGCATAAGGCTTGAGGGGACCTCTAGACACAAGCCATAATAATCTGCTTCTACTTGGGAATTTATATTCATAGCATATTCCATTTTTTTTATATTGCTTGTTGTGGATGTTAATTTAAAAGAGGGTACCTGTTCTTCTTTTATTTGTAGAATTAAAAATACAATTAAAGTTTTGGGATACATTTTTCAGAATATTCATACATTAGCAAGGAACTAAGAATGGCTGTCATTTTTTTTTATTTCAGGGGATATCATTTTCAATGCCCAATACCCAGAGCTGCCCCCTGATTTTATCTTTGGAGAGGATGCTGAATTTCTGCCAGACCCCTTGGCTCTGCATGTGAGTACTGTGGACTTGTTCAAGTGATCTTTGATGAAAAAATAAAATTGGCTTTTGATAATTGCCTAGCAGATAAATTTGTCAAACATTTTAAGTTTTTTTTCCTACCCCTCTTTTCTTTGTCCTGTGAAATAAATTGCAGTTTTACTTTCAGGCTATTTTGATTTAGTGGAAACTTTCTATGACCTTGGTTGAAATAGTTTTATTTTAATTTAAGGAGACATGTTGAAAACATTTTTTTTGTTTCAGTGTGATATTTCGTGTCTGCAGTCAGTTTTATAATGTTTACAAACACTTCATCACAGGGCTGGTTGGGAGTGTTTCTTGGCTTCCTAAGAGGCCTTTTTTTCTGTATAGAAGCGTAAGTGGAAAATTTGGACTGGTATCCACATTATCTCAGTATCATTATCAGAAGAGTAAAGACCAGATTAAGTGTTCTTTACTAAGACTAAAACCTTCATAGTTGAGTGAAATGTTTTTAGAACTAAAGCAGGGGTACTCACCATTAGGGAAAGGGTGGTGATACTTGTCAGAACACATGCAGTTATATGAAAGTTGTGTGTTTTGCATGGCTGATGGAGAAAAACATGTGCTGTTTTGTTTAAATGATTCTTCCCAGGCAGAATGTCTGTTTTTTCCCCTTCTCAAATCTGAGTTTACTGTGATTTCTGTACGCAAAGGGGTTTAATTTTTGTTTAAAACTGTGTTCTTAGTTTTGTTTCTGGAAAACTCTCATCTTGTTAAAGTTGTGTAATTAAAAGTTTTGATGACTTGAAATCTTTGTGTCTTCTACCGTCTTATAAAAGAGGATATATTAACTCAATCCTAAAAAATTCACTTAAATTGTAGAACACAGATGTAAAACTGCTTTTGGAAAGAGCAGGATAGGTTTGTTTTAAAGATTTTAATTGTATATAAGCAGTTCATTAGATTTTTAAAAAGCTTTAGGTGCCATGGTTTATATTTTCACCCTATATAAATGTTGAGATATTTACCTGGATAAGATGAGGTAGAGGTATAGCCGTCTCCTGTCTCAAATCTGCCCAGTTGAGGGAAACATACGCTAGATGTCAAAGATTTACAGGCTAAGTGCCTCCAGAATTTAAAGAAGGTAGCCAAAGAAAGCTTTGCCCTGTAGGTAAGATTAATAAAAAATGGAGCAAAAGTGGAAGGTATGGTAGAGAGTATTTCAGGTAGGAGAATGACAAAATTTGAAGAAACTGTGATCTGTATGTGTTGCAGAAAAAGGTACTGACAGATTTGCTGAGATGTAAATGAATAAAGGAAAGGCCTAGAAGATGGGCATGGTGGTGTATGCTTCTAAACCTAGCACTGTAGAAGTCTGAGGCAGGAGGATTGCAAGTCTCAGCCTAACCTGGATAACTAAAGAGACTTATGTAGACTTTGTCTCAAGAATATAAAGTGAAAAAGGGTTGGGGATGTATCTCAGTGTTAACAGCCTAGGTTCAACCTCCAGAAAACAACTACAGCTACAACAACAACATGGCTAGAAAAGGCAGGATAATTTGGGACAAGCCTGGTGTGGAGAAGGACATTCTTTGATTAGAATGTATTGAGGACACAATAATTTGTTTATTATTTGTTAGAATTTCTTAAGATAAGACTTCATTATACAGCCCAGATTAGCCTTGAGTTTATGATCCTCCTGTCTCAGCCTCTTGAGTGCTGGGATTACAGGAGTGTGTTAGATTACATGTGGAGAAGGATAATCCTTTAATTATCCTTGCTAAAAAAAAGTTTGGTATCCGCTCATTTGTACTAGCTACGCCCTTGGTTTTTGCTCAATAAAAGGTGACTGAAATTGGTATTCGAGGTTGCAGTCTGAGAGGCTGTAAGCCCCCTGATCCCATACTTTTGCTTCTCATGTATTTCTTTTTCCTATTACTTTTCTTGTTCATCTCCGGGCACCTCGTTCTCAGGACCTCTCACTTTAGATAGAATGACAGCCTAGAGTACATTGAAGAAAATGATAAAGGGGAATCATCTAATTGTAGTGTGTCAGTCTAATGAATTAAGGACAGCCTGAAGACCAGAACTGAAGGTTGTTGTAAGTATCGAGGACAGAGAGAAGAGGCTCTGAGCTAAGGTGATAAAAAAAGGAACACTATGATGGTCAGGATAAGAAATATGTAGAAACTCCTCATCCTCCTTCTCTCTTTCCTCCCCCTTCTCCTCTTTTTCTTCCTCTTCCTTCTTATTCTCCTCACTCTCCTCTACTTTTGAATTATCTTTACAGTTTATAGTGCATATCTTACAGTATTGACAAGTATTGTGAGAACAGAATTGAAAACCTAGGAAAGACCTTAGGATTCATCTTACTCCACTCTTCTATTTTAGTGCTGAAGAAAATGATATAGATTTATATAATTGTATCGGACCTGATACTGTAATTCTATTTCTTCGATGTTTCATCCCTCAGTGTAGCTATCACAACTTTTTTTGTTCAATTCTCTTAAAAAGAACATTCAAAAAGAAAAAAAAAATCAGAGCACTGGAGTTAAGAGAAAGATTGGAAATCCAAGGGAATTTTCTCTTTAGTGGTATTTCATCCAGGTCCTCAGGTAGGCTTACCCTTGGTTTCTTCATGGATCAGGGAGCTGGGCAACTCGATAAACAACCAGAGTGCACCCTCTACTACCCACGTGATGTCCAGATAGCCCAGAGGTTGCACTTTTTGTCTGTCTAGTTAAAATACAAGGACAGAATAAACTCTAAGACCTGATCCCCAGCAGTTCTCCTGAGCACAGCTTGCCTGTGAAGCATTGGTAACATCTTATGTTTTAGGCTTCAGATTTAATTCAGATGTATTCCTGCGTTATTGAAGTGCTCAGTGCACGGTCACCCCATAACCTGACTACTGTACAGAAGGTCCTGAATGAAGGATTACGTAATTCATCACCCATGGAAAACAGTGCTTAGCCACCTCAGACTTTTCTACCCAAGTCCTGATTACAGGTGGCAATGAGTATGTACCTTTAGAATCTGAAGTGCGATCCAAAGTAGTTCCTATGGCAAAAACGTACATGCTTCCTTTGAAGGTTCTGAGTTCTGAGTTTAAAATACAAGGACAGAATAAACTCTAAGGCCTGATCCCCGGCAGTTCTCCTGAGCACAGCTTGCCTGTGAAGCATTGGTAACATCTTCCTTTGAAGTTTCTGAGTTTAAAATCCATGAAAAGTTTGTATTTTATTCTATAATATATCTGTATCTTAAAATACAAAATATATTAACATACATGTTTGAGGAAAAAAATTAAACTCCCCAATGTGCCCAGTTTTAGAAATACAGTTTTAGACAGTGTATGTGGTTTTTTATTTATTCATTTTTTATAAATCTGCTCCCAAAGAAGAGGATTTGAAGATTTTAAGTAAGGGACACACAAAAAATGAAGCCATCTCTTTCTGAACTCAGACTTTTCATTCAGAGAGGTGAATTCCATTAAGCAATTTCAGATTGTCAGGTGAATGTGAAATACTAGATAAATATCAGATGTAGCAATAGATTGTCTCATAGAGAAAGTCATGCAAGTATTAGCTGAGGGCTTTGGTAGCTCATTGGTTTCCCAGTTCTGCACATTCATTAGGATTATTTGGGAATTTTGTTAAAAATGTAGCATCCTAGAATCCATTGGACCTAGAACTCTAGAGGTTTTGGGGACCCTGGGACTGTTAAATTATGTTGGCTCTTTTTAGATATTAGTCTGTGAACTGCTACTGGGAACCATGGGCTGAATTGTCTTATGGGAACATCTCCAACAGAAGGCTGTTTGCTTTTGCTTAACATTATTTCCAGTGAAGTATCATTTTTCTACTTTGGGGTCAGGTCTAATTTTTTAAAAATAATAGTTTTCTTGAGACTTAATTTATGTACCACATAATTCATCTATTTAAAGCTATAATTCAGTGGTTTTTTTTAGTATATTCACTGCATTGTGCAACTGTCACCACAAATGTAGAACATTGTCATTATGCCCAAAAGAACCCTTAACCCATCAGAGTCATTTTGCTTTCCTTCCTACCTAGGGAACAACTGATCTGTATTCTGTCTGTGAGTTTGCCTTTTCTGGACATTTCATATTAATGTAATGTTATCCTTTATGACGGTTTTCACTTAGCATGTTTTCATATAGTATGTATCGATTTACTTTTTATTGCCAAGTTATATTCCATTATAAGTGTATACCATGTTATCTATTTGTTAGGAGATGAAAATTTGCTTTTTTATGTTCTGATCATTTTTGCATGCTTGTGTCTGGTAATCTGGGCAGCTGATTTGAAGGTAACAATATGCAATGGAATTACCATGGTGAATTCCTACCATCTTGTCTAGTGAAACTCTGTATTATCTCTAATGTTTTATCTAGTTATTTTCTTATTTTCTGTAATGATTTGAACAATCTTCCATTCTTACATTTGGTAATCTGAGCAACGTAGTTGAGGATAGCGATGTGTAACATAGCAATCATTGTTAATTCATATTATTTTGTCTTGAAACCCTGTATCACTTTAAATGTTCTTGCTTTGGTTTGTTTCTGTTTGTGATCCTGGTATGCTGCTATTGTTCTGTTTTTTGTTTGTTTGTGTCTCATTTACTACTCTCTTTAAAATAAAAAAAAATTTGCATTGTTTCCTTGCTTTGGTGGTAAATCAGTTAGTACTATTAGACATTTTTATTTCATTTCTCTTGGATATATCCCTAAGAGGGGAATTGAAGGACCAAATGGTAACTCCATGTTTAAGTTTTTCAAGAACTTCTAGACCTATCTTCCGACGTGGTTGTATCATTTTGCATCCCCACTAGCAGTAATTTATGTGTTCCAATTTCTTCACATCCTCCCCAGCACTTGTCTTTTTGATTATAGTTTTCACTTGTGGGTATGAAATGGTATTTCATTGTGGTTCTGATTTGTGTTTCCTTGATGGCTAATGACATTGAATGTGTCTTCATGTGCTTATTGGCCAACTGTATGTCTTCACTGG